TAGTTTTGCTAAGAATTTTTGCAAGAACTTTGGTGAGAAAAATTATGAGACTGTTACTTTGTCATCATTCCCTCGTTAACATGCATCGAATGTTAACACCTATAATTTCACATAAAAATTTCAACTTCAAAATGTGACCGCAGATCAAGGGCATGCTCTTACTTGAGAAGTTCATGAAAGTCATCAACTGATCCGTATGGATGATTAACACCTTCAAGACAATTTCATTACTCTACCTCTCCTATATCAAAAGTAATAGTCGAAAAACTGATGTTGACCTTTTTTAATGACCTAGCCCGACCATTTGAGTGGCCGCTGGCCATCAATTGCACGCCCCCAGCAAATATGGGCAGAATGGTCGTGTTTTTGTAAATATGCTGTTGTTTTTTACGCGTCTCTTCAGATCAATAGATATGTGTCCTTTTCCCCGATTTGGCTGGTAATGATCAGGACAATGATCTGACCTTTCGTTGTTGGTAAGGGGCCCCCATTAGGTTGAGGGGGCCCACTTTGCTGGGGGGCCCATCGCGAACGTCTCTCACCCCCGTCGCCAGAGTTCTGGCTGCGCCACTGAAGACAATAGAACCTTGATCTTGTTGCCCCAAGAACGGAATTCATGAAAAATTCTCTTTCTTACCAAGGCTCTAAGCTTTGGAACAGCTTGCCCCCTCAAGTGAGGAACGCCTCAAAGAATGAAGTAATAAAGTACATTCTAACTAAGGCAGACATTGACAAGCCATGATTATCGGTCATATGCTCGTACTTATACAATGTATCGTTTCAACGTGTGCAATTGCCAGTGTTTCATAATTCATTTGATGTCACTCGCCAGTCACTGCACTATACATACGTTTGAGGACTACTTCTTTGTATCAGGAGATTATTGATATGGTGGCAGTTTGAGTCTGTTCATGTAACGTGCATGTAGCCTGTAGCCTGTAGGTAACATGCATAGGTACCTATGTTCATACGTGGATCATGTTAAGTGTCGTGTACTTGGTGAACTGTATGTATGTACCTACCTACCTCGTGCCTATTTTCACCGTAATGCCCACGTTTCTGTGGTTGGTGAAAATAAATGAAATAATAATAATATTTCTTAAAGGGAGATAATGAGCTTTCTTTTTTCTTAAATTAAAATTACTCAACATCTATACTATTTCTACTGTAGTTTCTATAAAATATGAAAATTTCCTAGCACATTTTCGTATGTGAAAAAGGTTTTTATTTTTGCAAAAAAGAAGCAGTACTTGCAGTACTTGTAACACCCACCGAAATGCGTTGTCCTTCTCTATAAAAAAGTCGCAGTATATGGCGCTTTTGTTTCAAACAGCGACGCTTGGGTTTTTGTTTATGTTATCGCCTTGTCGTTGCTTGGTTGTAAGGATTCTAATTTGAATTAAGCCTAAGCTACACTAGCATGAATTTCGACGTTTTTTCGGTTTCTGCGGGATTTCGGTTCGCGTCGTCAAGTTCGCCTCATAGCGAATGCATTGCGCAAGCTACACTGCCAGTCTGGCGTCCCGTGGAACGAAAACCCGCAAAAACCGACGAGTCGGAACCGAAAAAAAGTTCAGAGCTGTGAACTTTTTTTCGGTTTCTGCGGGATTTCGTTTTAGTGCTGAATTATTGAAAGTGATTGTTGCTAATAATATTGTGACGATGGACCAGTTTCAAATGTAAATAATGAAAATGGTGTAATTCATGATTGAAAAAGACAAGATGTGCTTCAAAATCATCATTCTACTTCAAATATGATAATTGTAATTAAGCTGATAAATGATTATGATTGAAAATATATTCTTGTTAGCTGTAACATCTTTAAAACAATTATTTAATTATGATTTTGTTAAAACACGATTATTAAAACACGAAAAATTAATGAATTTGATCACTTATCCATCACTATGCTATAAACAACACCGTCCACGCGGCGGCCGCCCGGAACGAAAAAACGCAGAAACCGTAAAAACGCGGAAACCGAAATCACGCAGAAATCGAAAAAACGCTGATAGTGTAGCCTGAGCTTTAGAGTTAATTCGGTTTAGAATTAATTAGATTCTAATTCGGGGGTACATAGTGCCTACTCTTCTTTGTTTCGGCATGCGGCATGCGGCACAAATGAACGGCATGCGCCAGAAACGCAGCCAAATCTTGCGATTGCGACTACGAAATTCATTATTTTGGCGTCAGAGCCTGAAGCGAAAAATACAAGCATATTTATTTCAAAAAGACTTCAGGTTTGTCGAACGGTGTTATGAGAATTTTGATAACAGTACTGCATAAGTTTTTCAGTGATGCCGCAAAAGTGTTGTATCTATCTTCTTTTATTGTGCAGTCGGCGGGACCGATTCAAAATTGAGTCGTTGCTACTAAAATAGCAGCATATGGCGTCAGATGATGAACAGGAAAAATAGTTGCGTAAATTTAGACATAAACCACCCCCAAACCATGAATATCTTTTGAAGGCACTATAGACGGCCATTAACTAACTAGATGTGATGAAGATCAAATGTAAGGAATACGCTCATTTTACAAAATTACATGCAAGTACCAAAAAGTGATGTAAGTACTTATTCAACGGTCATTTTCAGCGCTCCCCGCTAACGTGACTTCAAGTTGAGATATTTGCGGCAAAGTACCGAATTGAGCAAAATGGTTTCAATTTACATTATAACTTGTTGTGTTTTGTCAGAAAATGGTCCTAACTCAGATTTTGTGGAAAAAGGTCATTATCTCCCTTTAATCGCTCGGTTTAATATGAGCAGTATTCGTATTTGAACTGCGCCTAGAGGCCCATATACAAATCGGGAAAATATTGAGCACTTTTAACGTATGGGCACTCATAATTAGCAAACCGCAAAGTAAATATAAATATTATTTTTTGCGTGGTTCCATGCAACGAAACTACCTAAGGTACCTACAAATAGGTTCTAGATAATGTTCAAGTCATTCCCACGTCACCGCGCCCCGGCCCGGCACTGGAGCCAAGGTCGAGCTGAACGGATACCGTATATAACGAGCCACCGGACGGACAGAAGGCAGTACAGCTCTGTACAGCTCACAGTCAACATGGCCTACGTCAAGGTAAGAACTCCGAGGCGCTAGACACAAATTTAAAGACACATTTGTCACTAAACATTACAACATGTAAACATCAACAACTATCTGTGCAGCACTAACGGAACTTAAAGCAGTCATCAAAATGCCAAAAACTAGGGGAAACAGCCCTAGCATAAAGCATACAGCGAAATTCGAAGAACAACAAAAGGCAAAAGAAAAAAAATATTCGCGATTCAGGGCAATTCGCGATTCAGGTCAACACTACGGAATACTTGTCAACAAACTTTTCACTATTACTGTTGTTTCGAAAATATGTAAAAGACAGACGTTTTTTAGGCATAACTTTGAAAAATATAACTCTATTTTGGCACAGATGTGATTAACTAGTGACAACAAAGGAAAGATAAAGTATTCAAATTTTGATTCATTTCAGAGTTCGCTAAACGCTCGCACCCCTCGTATTTCAGGTGCTGACCGCGTGTGCGCTGGTGGCCGCTGCTAGCGGAGCTCCCAGCACACCCCTGGCCTACGGCCACGGTTACGCCCATGGCTACGCCGCCTCTCCTGCCGCCTACGGCCTCGGCTACGCCGCCGTCGCACCGGCGCCCGTCGACGTGGTGGTCGGCCACGCTCCGGTCGCCAAGTCTGTCGAGGTGGTCGACTACGTGAACCCGCACCCCAAGTACGACTTCAGCTACGGCGTCTCGGACGGCTACACGGGCGACCACAAGTCGCAGGTGGAGAGCCGCGACGGTGACGTCGTGCGCGGACAGTACCGTCTCGTCGACCCCGACGGCACCGAGCGCGTCGTCACCTACACCGCCGACGACTACAACGGATTCCAGGCCACCGTCGAGAAGCGCCCTCTCGGCTACACCGCCCCCGTGGCTGCCCACGGCTACGCCGCCCCCGTTCCCGCCGTGGCTGCCCACGGCTACGCCGCCGCTGTTCCGGCCGTGGCCGTGCACGCCGCTCCGGTGGCCGTCTCCCACCAGTCGGTCACCAAGTCGGAGGGTTACGATGTGCCCGTCGTCAAGGAGACGGTGCACACGGCTCCCGTCGTGGCCAAGGCGGTGCCGGCCGTCCACGCTGTCCACTCTGTGCACGCCGCGCCGGCCGTGCACTCTGTGCACACCGTGCACGCCGCCCCTGCCGTGCACTCCATCAGCCACGGCTATTAACTAACTCCTGTACTTTCTGTAAAAAATGTACATCTATCCAAAGAACTATGTTGCCACTGTGAAATGTACAGAGCTGTATTTTCCGTAATTTGATTATCTTGCTACTGAATTTAGTGTCGTGTTAAATACATGTCAATAGTGAAGGTACCCGACGCTTTGGTTGATAGCCATCATTTTCAGTTACCCGACCCGATTTGTAGGCAAGAAACAAGGGGTATTTGGATGAGCTCAACACATGCATGAAACGCCTGTTTTTGCCTTTCTCTGCGGTCGTCAGCCTTAGCTATTCCGATCCAGATTTGAAGGCACGTATTTTTTAACTTCTAATTACACCTTTTAATCACTTTTTCTTTCACTGAAAAAAGGTATCTAAATTTTGGAAAACGCCATCAGAGCGAGTGATAAAAGGGAAACCTGAAAATTAAAGTTTACTTTAGTTGCTGTTGATCATATTTTCTGCATTGCAGGCTAGTTTACATGTAGCCGAGCTAATATTCTCATACGTTGCGATTAGCTCGCGGAAATGGTTTACCGAAGAATTTTTCACAAAAAAAAAAAAAAATAGAGTAAATAGAACTTACAATAATCAAAAACGTTTTTGGCATGCATTTTTGAAACGTCACAAACAATAAATGATCACACATAACTGGTTTGATGGCAAAACGTTTTGCAAAAGCCTGTTTCATCACGAAATGCAGCCGTTACATGACTAGCGCTCGTGCTCGACACTGCCCTTAGTACAAATGCGCAACTTACCTGGTCGTATGGGTGGCCGATCAGGATTTCGGAGCACTTGTCCGCACAAGCTTCGAAATTTCTACGGCGATACAGACTGATTGCTTGAAACAGCGGATCCATTGTAGCATCAATCGGTTTGGTTGCTCTTGTTTTCTTAACCGATGAGTATTTTTACCCTGGCCGTATTCTGCAAGCAAAAAGTTTACGCTTTATCAGTTCAGACACATACTAAAAACAAGCCTATGACACAAGTTACTTTTCATACAGGCTTAAAAAAATTAGCGCGCCTAACCTTTTCATGATTTCCGTCCATTTGACCAACAATAATTCAGAGCCTTTCGTCGCCTTCATCTTCTGTTGATATGCCAATGAGTAAGAACACCATTTAGCGACCAGCAGGCTGAGAATGGGAGCTTGAAGATTCTAGCTGGCAGCTATGCATAAAAACGATACGCCGCGAACTGCAAAGGCTCATTCTGTATGTCGTTTGTTTTTGTTGGGTTAGGCCCTTACGGTCTGACAAGACCATTGCAGAGCCGTAACTCTGCAACGGCCGAATGTCGGATGTTGGTCTTTTTTATTGCTAAAATAATACATTGGTGCCATGTTAAAGGGACCCTCCCACCTTCAAAAAAGTTAATGAATTGGCATGAAAGTGATGTCCCTTGGTTCAGAAAGAGCGAAACCGAATATCTACCAAATATCTTCACCGAAAAATATTCACTGGTTTTCAAGATATTAGGCTTTTACTTTTGTTTACATTTTGGGATCTCCCCTGTTACTAGCGACTTTATTTGGAAGCAATAATTTGGCAGACTTAAAGTGCGGCAGACGTTGCGCGCAAAGCAGCGTATACCACCACGTGTTAACGATGGTTTTAGTCTAAGATTTAAAAATCGTAAAATCTCCGCTGACGTCACAAATTCTAAGGGGGCATTCCAATGCATTAGCCCCTTAGAATCCGAAAACTGCAAGTTTGAAATTCCATATCTTCGAATTAAAGAATTTTTCGATGTTGTGAGTGCCCAAACCGGTATTTGCAGGCCATGGCCACCAATTTGGCTATCTCAACTCAAAACTAATGTTAAGGTGGGAGTGTCCCTTTAATGATCATTAACTTAACAATTAATTTAAAATAATCATGGCAAACGCCATCTATTACGATAAAACGAGACTTACTGCATCTGGGTCAGTCAGCCGTTACGTAGTTTGAGTGTTATGATATCCTTGGTTCGAGTTCTTTCGGGAAACCAAGGCAGTAGGTACATACCTACAATCCACAGATGTGCGGTTTCAGTGGTTTCAGTCATGGGTATGTTCTGCTTCTGAAGCTTAGAAACGATTAGCCAGACTACAATGAAACTTTGGAATGTAGCTTACATGCATCGTTACCCTTGCAGCTGCAACTTTATCTATTTAGGTCTTCTTTTCGATTACTCCGCATTAAAAAATCGCCAGTCAAAGCCATCCGTTGAGATTGGTAAAGCCGCACATTACTTTGGCGGTAGTCTGTATGTACATACATACCTATGCCGGGATTTTCGGGCGTCACGAATCGCGTGGCATACAAATCCACGACCGTTCCCTCCTTTCCATCCCCAGGATAGTCAAATTATTTTCCTCCACGCCTCTCTCCCCTGCTCCGGGCTGGACAGGCGCAACTTTATCCCATGCGGGCGGCTCCCATTGGAGCGCACCGCCGCTCCTAAGGGATACAACCGTAGCCGGATGCAGTGAGTACTTGGGACAGTGTTGGAAATAAGGCCCTTTGCTGGTCCCAGTCGGGTCAAAACGATTTTGTGCTTCTTTACAAATTTATACTCCGGCACATGAAATTTCTGAAATTTCCAGCCTATGTAAAGAAAACTGCTATTATTACGCCATAACAAACTTTATAGCAGTGAGCGAACACATTTTATCGACTGTCACATCTAGCAGGCCAAACATATATGATTTTCCTGTTGAGTGTTCTAAAAGCTGGCCGGTTCTCCGGAACAGATTTTATCCTCCGGAACCAGGACCAAAATTCACAATTCCAGCATTGACTTGGGGGGCTGGTCGGCCTGTCCTTTTGGACGGGCTCAGCCCCGTTGACTCACTAGGGTGCCCGCCCAGACCAACGTCTCCCCCTAATTCCTATCATCCTTCCGGCCCTGAAATGGTCTCGTCAGACCGAAGGTGTCTAGCCTAACAAGGCAAACGAATGCAAATCTAAGCGAAAGACAATACTACCTAAATTGTACATAGGCAATGATGTGCCAAGCAGCAAATGGGGCATTCCATGTCAACCGGAACAGCCAAAATCGGTCACCTCTGCGATTTTGTTCAAACTTGGTATACTTATTGGCTATTGGATGAAACCTCTGAGGGTGAAAAGATTTTGTCATATGCCCTCGGGCTACAGAGATACAAGTCGCTAAACTTCTGCTTTTTGAGCAGAATTGGACGTGTATTGCAATCTTGAAAGATCTATAGCTTCAACATTTTTGAAGCTATTAGTTTCAAACAAACTGAAACGTGTACATAAGGAGTTATGCTAGTAAAAATTGACAATGTTAACATTTTTTGGTGATTTTGAATTTATTTTATTTTGAATTAATTTCTTAAAATGTAATTTGTGAAAAATGGGTACCCTTCGATTTTGCTCAAATTTAGATATTGTCTTCCACTACACGCAAGGCACACGTGCTGAGAAAATTAGAGTGGGCCAACGATAACTTTGGATGATATAGCAACAAGTAGTGCAACGTAGCACGGGCGGTGGAAGGGGCCGATTTCGCTAACTCCACCTGTTTATCGCCAATAACTCACGCCATAATTATTACATTAACGTCAAACTTTCAGCATCTGTCCAGAATCGAATTGCAAATCCTCCCGCGCAAGAAATAGGTAAATCGGTCCACAACTTTTCTAGTTATAGCGGTGTAAAGTCAAACATTCCTGCCGGAGCGGTTCGGCGGCCGGCGCCGGCCGTTGCCGCCTGAATGGTAGACTGTGCCGGCGCGGGACGGTTACATCTTTGCACCGCGCTTCTTACCGCTGATTATGATCAATTCGTGTCAAATTTTGTGTGAAGGCTTAAAAATGTACAGGCAATCTAATGTTTGAATAAATACGAAAATCAACTGGTAAAATTAAACTATTTAGGGTGCAAACACAATATGTGACTATGACGTTTCCCGCGTCGGCCGATCCCCGCCTCTGCCGGCGACATCTTACTCTTAGCAAGCCACTAACTGCCAAATTTATGTTAAGATTAACTAGAGATTCTCATAACACTACAAATGTCGTATAAAGGAAGAAAAAAGAAAATCAGCCAGTATCTCTTAGAGCAATGGGCGTATAAACGCATATTTTGATCACGTTTAACCTCATTTGATCTTGAATATATTGATCTAGGGCCATGAAATTGGCACACGATAAAGTTCCCCGCCACCCCACCTTCAATTCGAATTCCGTTTTTTTTAATACCTTTTTTGGCTAAACCGGGCTTTTCTCCCCTGACGCTGGGAGAGTCAGGCGTATTTTCTTTTTGCAACCAAAGAGAGGCGCTGCCCGGAGAATGCCCAATTTCATCATTAAAAACTGGCTAACGATGACCAGCTATCTTCGTGGCTTAGTAGTAAGTGTGCCGAATGTACCCACCTCGAAAGCTAAAGGTCGCTGGCTCGCAGCGGGTCAGCCTGAAGTGTTTAACACGCATTTGTTTTTTAAGTAGCATCTGGCCAACCGGCAACTGTCGTGAGGGCTTATGTTCGTAATCTAGGTAGCATTTGGCCAGTCGGCAACTGCCGTGAGGGCTGTACATATTTACGCGTGTTAGATTAGGTCAGGTCACGTCAGGTCAGGTTTGGTTTGCTTTGGTTTGGGGTAGAAAGAAGCATCTCCGGGTAGCGCCTCTACTTGGTTGCTAAAACGAAACACGCGAGTGCCAGACATTACGAAGTCCAAAAGACAGTTACGTAGACGTCGGCCCATTCTAGATTTTTTATATGATGTAGCTTATGTATAGGAGAATAAAATATGTAAAAATCAGCAAAATCGAAGGGTACCCATTTTTCAGAAAATCAAAATTTATTTTTTGAATTTTAATTAAGTTCACTAATTAGTTAAGTACGTCAATATTGTTATCCTCAAATTAAAGCCTGACCTATTCCCTCCATTTCACACTTTGTTTCGTGGTGATATGTCTAAAACTTCAATGGTTATGACGCTTTAAAGATGATAATGTGCCTTGCCTAAGTCAATGTTTGATGACGTGTATCTCGGAAACGTGACGTCATATCTTGGCAAAAATATGTCTCCTTTATTTTCACATATAGATGAGTAGTTTCACAAAGTTTCGCAAAAATCGGAGAAGGTGAGGTTCAAAATGATCATTTTTTGTCCCACTTGACGTGAAATGCCCCAAATATTTTATGCCGTAACTCGTAAGTTAGGCAAGCGTCAGCAATCTCCAGCCCGCGTCTCTGACGCCCTGCTCGAGGGCCGCGACTGATGTTGACGATAATTTATTATTCTAATCTCGCTGTGCCCAGCTGGCAGCATTGACTGCCCCAAAATGTTTGTGTACGATGAAGACGAACTGACAATGATTTATTTAATACGCAATTAAGCCTGCATACACTGAACCCGAGCCACTCAGCAACGACGTTAGTATGGACTTGGCAATGGCATCAGGGCTGAGGAGTCGGAGTCGGAGTCATTCGGAGTCGACGGTGGAAATCGCCTCTAGCACCCCGGTACCTTTAGACTTATACTGTTTATACTGTTCTGACAGGAGCCTCGAAGTCAGACCAGAATAGGTTTTGGAAACTGAAATCGGAGTCGGGGTCACCGAAAAAAATTGACTCCGCAGAACCACAATGAATGCGGAGTCGAAGTCGGAGTTGGTAGACGAGAGTAGCCGATTGTTCTGCCCGGAGTGAGAGTCGGAGCTGATTTTTGAAATCTGGAGTCGGAGTTTGAGTCACCGAAAATCTATAGACTCCGCAGCCGTTTGGCATAGAGACCCACTGCTACCATAGGCGGCGGAACGTGGAGGGCATGGGGCACCATGCCCCCTTTGATTTTGGCATTTTAACCCGGCAGGCGGTGGGCCTCCCGGCCACCTTCCGCGCGGTGGGGGGAGGGGACATTTTTTTTGCCCCCGTATCTCCGAAACTACTGGACAGTGGCGCAGCCAGA